ACAAAGCCTAGCTACACGAAAACACCTTATGCTTACCACATTCAATCCATATATGATCAGGATATAATTGTCTGTTTTGGTCCATTACGTATCGTCATCAGCCTAACAATTTTAAAACACATCTATTAAGGAGAGGTTTTCACGCTCTTAGCTCTTATAAGGAATGTTGCATCCCTCTTTTCAACCAATGTGGGATCTCACAATTCCACTCCCTTGGAGACCAGCTAATGTTTATCTTTGTCCGTTTTGGCCCATTACGTACTGTCGTCAGTCTCACGATTTAAAAACATGTTGACTAGAGAGAGGTTTTCACACTCTTATAAAGAATGTTTCGTTCCCCTTTTCAACGAATGCGAGATCTCATATATGTATTAAATAATTTATAAAAATTAAAAAATAATTAATTGAATTTTATCATTAATTTTAATGAAAACCCATAATTTCTATAATTGTCATAAATAATAATTAAATTAAAACAAACCAACAGAAACGTACGATTTATGTTCTACAAATTTAAGCCTTGTCGGAATACATTTTTAATATTCGATAATGTTATTTAAAAATAGACAAAATGCAGAGTTATATTATATAATAATAAATAATAAATAATAATAATAATCATAAACATTGGGAATCGATAAGCTTCATATGCATTAAAGGGTTATTTATTTATTTATTTATTTATTTAATCCAATTGAAGTCGTAGAAGAATTGAGACTTTTAGGAGGAATCTGTATTATTTATATTATAATAAAGTCTTGGTCTTCTTTTTCTTTATTTATTTAATATCTACTTTTTAAATTTTCTACTTTATATAATATGATTTATTTCTTCCAATAATTGAAAAATAAAATTTATTTAATATTTGAATTTCGTGAGATTTTAGTCATTCGTGAAACATATATTATGGATTAGTAGGTTTTTTTAAATATTAAAAAAAACCCGACAACCCAACTCAACTTAACTCGAGTTGAGTTAGGTTGTGAACTCTATCTCGTTTTTCCGTTTGCCAACCCAACCAACCCAAAATTTAAAATTCTCCAATCTGAAAAACTTATGGCTCAATAGTTATTCATCGTGCTCGACCTTTTCGACTTTAGGTTAAAGATGATCATTTTTCAATTTAGATCATTCGGGAGCACTCTCTCGATCAGACATCAAAGACACGCTTCCACACATTCCCTCCAACTATGTGTTAGAGAGATCATTAGGGTTAAGATGTCTTAGTCGGATGCACCAAGGACTTCAGTCAATCCAGGTGTTCGTTCATCTTCGACCTGAATGAAAAGAATTCATATCAATTATGGTAGAACAACGTTGATATCAGCTAATGATCGTTAAAAATATATTAAATTTCTCGAAGGAAACAAATTCAAATCCTTCCGAGTGTGGACGGGAAATAAAGAAAGAGTAGAGGTGGCAATAGAGATGAAGGGAAGAATCATTTGATGTATATGGGGTGCAATATTAAACAATATCAAAAGAAGAAAAAGCAAATGGCCTAAAAAATAAAGGGTTTTGTTAATAAATTATGAGTAGTAATGGTAGCTTTGGACAACAACAAGAACACATCCCACATTTTGAGGCTAACCACGTGACTAAGAGAATCATTTTTAACAAAAATATTTCAATTTCAAAACAAAAACAGACCAATTACGACACTATTAATCTTACCGAGATCGCACAATCCACTCCCTTGATAGTCCAGCTTCCTCGTTGGCATACCGCTCGGTGTTTTGACTCTGATACCATTTGTAACAGCTCGTGCCCACCGCTAGCATATATTGTTCGCTTTGGTCCGTTATATATCTAGTCAACCTTATGGTTTTAAAATGCATCTGTTATGGACTGATATGGGATCTCACATATACTCTTTTAATTAGGGTATTCAAAAAAATCTTATGATTCCGAAAAAAAAATCGATCAGTTCAACTCAATCTGTACGGTTTGGATTGAATTATCAACTTATTTGAATTGGGTTGGATTCAAATGAATGAAATTTTTATGGGTTTGTTAGTTCATAGATTTCTCTAAAATTAATTTGTCTTGAATTGGACGAACTCAAATTTATTGATTCACTTCGGTTCAGTGATTTCTCTATAAACTCGAATAATCTAAACAAACCTAACCCAAGTATTTAATGATCAAGTTGGTTGAAAAAATTTCCAATCTAAATAATTGAGCTGATTCTAAGAAATGTCTCAACCCGACTCAACTCAATCTATTTCAATTCTCATTCTTATGCATTTAAAGACTTACCCTTACTAATAAAATTCCATTTCTTTTAATCCGAACATAGCTCAACGTGCAACTTAAATATACAATATTCAGCTTGATTCACGAGATTCTTTTCGAGAATTTTTATCGTTACTATTTTTAGTGGTAATATAACATTTTTTTTATCAACTTGAGCATAGTTCAATTGATTTAAACATATATAATTAACGAACTAAAAAAAATATTTAAGAAAAATTATAAGCAAGAAAGATGAATTAGAAAAATGTAATATAAAGGTATAATTAGGTGAATATAAAAACAAATAGAAAGAGAGTGAGCTATGGACAAGAGTTGGTAAAATATGAAATTATGAATATGATGTATGCATTCTTTATTTATTTATATCAATAAATAAATCTCCATACTTATTTTTTAAAACATTCATATAAAATAAATAATAATAATATGTGACACGAGAATACATAAATTAATTAAAAAAATAATTTTAAAAAAATACGTTAAATTTCTTATTATTAATATTATATCTATGTTAATAATATTTTTATTATATTTCATTAATTTTTCTATGATATAATGAAAACCTAATTTATTTTATTTATTTTTTAAAACCATTTGATTTATAAGAAGAAGCCAAAAAAGAAAAAGGTCAAAACGGCGCAGTTTGGAGGGCCCTCCACCCCAAAAATATCCTCTTTTTTTTCCTTTATTTTGTATATTTATTTATCTATAAAACATTTATTTTTAAGTCTAAAGACAAAAAAAACCAATACTAATAATAATAACAACAACAACTAGCTCGTGACTGATTGCTAACACAAGATATAAAATTAGAAGGCAAAATTTTATCGCACTCCAAGAAAAATTTTTAATCGGTTGAACTATGTTTAAATTGGATATTTGATTAAATATTGAATCAACGTTTATAAATGGGTTTTGGGCTTTTCGTAAAATATTGGGCCTACAAGCTCAAATATGTGCTCATGTCCGAAAGAAAGTAGCCCGGTGTGGGCTTCAGTTGGTTGGCCCATTTAACATCATATTTATCGGAACCAGACCAGACCTAAAAACAACATTTTGGAAAAAACGAGAATCATGTGGTTTATATATTTTAAATTGATTATTTTTATGAATTTAGCCTTTGAAATATTAAAAATTATATAAGGTGTGACATTTTTTTTAATATATTAACTAATTATTTTTAATAATATTTTCTTTTCCTTTAATAATAACTCTTCAAGTAGTTTTGAAAATAAAAAATAAATAAATAACACGAAGAATTATTATATTATATTATATTAATTAATATCAAAATTATTGAAAGAAAAAATGTATTATTTTCATCCATATTAATGATGGAAAGGGGAAGACAAAACTTCTGAATGAAGCATGTGTCACGTGCCAAACCATTATCTTTCTATTACCAAGCACGTGACATTCTGTTTCTCTCTTTAATGCTTTCTCTCCAGCTAAGAGGTTGTTTGGAAGTTATATTTTTTAAAATAAAATTTTATAAATTTATATTTAGATAAATATAAATAATCAGATTTTTAAAATAAATAATTTTGATTCAATATAATACAATAACATTATGTTTTTAAAAGCATTTATTCCCAGTTTCCAAATAATTATGAAAACAACACTAAAATTCTATTTTTAATGCATTTGAAGTATACGTGTGAGATCGCACGTTAGTCGAAGAGGGAACAAATCATTTCTTATAAAGATATGGAAACCCTTTCGGGTAGATGCGTTTTAAAATCGTAAGGCTGACGATATGTAACAGGTCAAAACAGACAATATCTGCTAGCGGTAGGCTTAGGTTGTTACAAATAGAATTACAGTCAAATATCGAGTAGTATGTCAACAAAGACGCTAGGCCCCCAAGGGGGATGAATTGTGAGATCCCACATCGGTTGGAGCAGTGTGCCAATGAGAACGCTAGACTTCCAAGGGAGATGGATTGTGAGATGGTGTGCCAACGAAGACACCAGGTGTCACAATCGCACTTTTGATGGTAGTGGACTTGCGATTGTGCGGCACTCACTTTCCAACGACAAGTGAGCTAAGCCAATTCGTTCTTGCGTCGCCTACGTCCAAGCGACGTATGCTCGAGCCTCTAGCCTCAGTTTTAAGAGAAGGTTTTAGAAAACGAGGGTAGAGAGAGATTTTTGAAAGAGACGTTATATAAGCAAGTAAGAGAGAAATAACAACAGCTCACAGTACCTTGGGCAGGGAGGAGTTGACAATTAGTCGTATCCCCCTATAGTACATTCTGAGACATTTCATGTCTGACATGTAGACATGGTATTTCTAAAACGTTATACTTCCTAGAAATACAAAAGTAAAATACTCGAATATGAAAAGACATAAAGGGTTTGGCTTGTCATGGGCATGCGGCCATGGGCAGCACGCCTTGGATGAGCATGACCGTGACACCAGGCTCCCAAAATAAATGAATTGTGAGATCCCACCTCAATTGGAGAGGAGAATGATGGCCTTATAAAGGTGTGAAAATTTCTCCATATTAGCACGTTTTAAAACCATGAGGCTAATAGCTAACGAGCCGAACAATATTTACTAACAGTTACAAGACGAGAATTTGAAGTTTGAACCTAAAAAAAAAACGTTCATATTGTTTCAAAGTACTTTATGGTTTTTGAAATTAAAAAAATTAAAACGAATCTCTAAAAAGTGAGCGTTCATGTTCATCATAATGAGCTTTGATAATCTTATTGGGTGTAACTTAGAAAGCATAATGAGAATTTGGGGAAAAGGGGCAGTTTAGGCCCTACAAAGCACATGCTATATAATAAAAATGCTGGCAGATCACAAACAAATGGAGAGGGCACAATAATGAGTATATAAACAAACCAACTGTAACCAAAACTTAACATTGCCCACTAAGTAAAGGAGAGAAAAGGCCAAGAAAACTGACAAAAACATAATAACATCACTGCTAACTTTTATGATCTTCTTTAAGCTGTCTCTCTCTCTCTCTCTCTCTCATGGACTCAACAAACATAGGGTGACATCACAGAATGACTGACAGAGATGGGAAGATGGGTTAAGTTGGTGAAGAACAGAGGAGGAGGAGGAAGAAGAAGAAGAACAACGCTTCTGCACCTGCCCCCTACTACCTAACACGGCGGCGTTCTCTTTTCAGCTGAAGCAGGCCGAGGTTGAGCGAACCAACAGATGAACAACAATGGTGGAATGATGGGTTTGAAGGAAAAAAATGAATGTGTAATCATGGAGTTTAAGGCTTTTATGTTCTATGGCTTTTTAACATTTGGGGTTGAAGTTAAAATGATGGAGAGGTGAAGTTCTAGCAGGGATGGCCTCGGCGGCATGGGAGAGAACCTGCAGAAGAAGTGATGGAGCCTACCATGGAAGCAGATTTGGCTCCTAAGCTTGAGGCTCTGGCATAGCTTGCTGAAGCTCCGGCGCCGGATGGGGTGAAATATGCACCGTTTAGTAACATATCTCCTTCTGATCTCCAATTCCAGCCTTTCCATTTGCTCTCCAGCGTTTCGACTCGCTTAGTCACCTGTTTTGGATTGTATCGAACTAATTTGTGAGCTACAATAACTAATTTCATAATCTAAATTTGTAACGGCCTAAGTCCACGCTAGCACATATTGTCTTTTTTAGATTTTCTTTCCAAGTTTTAAAACGTATCCTTAAAGGAATGTTTCGTTCTCCTCCACTAACGTGGGATCTCACAATCCACCCCCTAAGGGTCCAACATCCTCGCTGGCACACCGCTCGTCTGGCTCTAATATCATCTGTAACAGTCCAAGTCCACCCGCTAGCAGATATTATCATATTTGAGCTCTCTTTTAGAATTCTCCTCAATGTTTTAAAACGCATCTGCTAGGGAGAGATTTTCACATCTTCTCCTCTCCCACTGATGTGGGATCTCACAATCCACCCCCTCTTGGGGATCTAACGTCCTCACTGGCACACCGCTCGGTATGTGGCTCTAATACCATATGTAACAATACAAGCTCACCGCTAGCAGATACTGTCCTCTTTGAGTTTTTCCTTTTTGGGCTTCCCCTCAAGGTTTTAAAACGAGTATGCTAAGGAGCGATTTCCACACCCTTACAAGGAATGTTTCGTTCTCCTATCCCACGGTAGAATCTCACCAAATCAACGTTGAAAGGAGTATACCTCTTTGGCAAAAGGGTTGGATGGAGCTGCATATCTGTTGCCTTGACTATTGATGGTGGGGTTGGCACTACCACCAATGGCATACATCTCCCAATGAGTGTAGTCATTGTTCACCACATGGAAATAGCCATGCCTACACCTTGGCATTCTTTGAATGAGCCCCTTGCCAAAATGGTTATAAGCAATGGTGACTTGCATTTGCTTGTCCTTTGTGTAGGAATCACTATGCCCTAGAAGCATCACCTGTTACCAAATTTCGTGAGATAAATCTATTTAAAACGTTAAGTTCATACAATAAATGCAATAAAAGAAGCATACCTCATTGTGGTGAGTGAAGTGGTTGTTGGAGATTGTGATAGCGGTTGAGCCCATAATGGCATCAATAAGTCCATCAGCACAATTAGAGAGCGAATTGTGGTCAATCCATATATGGCTGGATCCAAAGATGGAAATGGCATCTCCATCAGCCATGGTTCTCCACCCAAAATGAGTTGGAGAGCTTCTCACCATGGCATTCCCTGTGGGCTTGCAATCATGGATGTGAAGACCATGGATAATGATGTTAGTCACAAACTGGATTGTGATGCAAGCGCCATTGGCAATATGTACATTGACTCCTCGAGCATCAATGGTTTTGAAACTGTTCATGATGAGTTCTTGTTTCAATTGAATCACCATGTCTCTTTTGAACACAATCCAAAGAGGTTTCTCTTGAATGACAGCATGACGAAGAGTCCCTGGCTTCGGGTTCACTGGATCGTGGTCACTCGAATCAGTAACGACATAGAAACGACCGTCACGACCACCAATAGCATTCCGACCGAACCCGATGCCACATTCAGCTAGACGTTTACGGTTTCGGTGCCAATTTGAGTCACAACGCCAGCAGTCATCAATGGGATTGCCTGTTCCACAAGAGAAGTATCCCAACTTCCTCCTTTCAGTGCTATTACGGATGCTCCTGCCACATCAAAAAGGATCTTCATATGAACAATCTCCTTCAAGTTCTTGTGAAACACAAGATAAAAGTACAAATCTCGAGAAGAACATACTAATTTTTAACCCCAACGGGCACAAGAAAATGAATAGTACACAAACAGAACAAGACAAAGACTTTTTCCATTATAACGTCTAGAAACTCTTCTTGTATGAATTTATGATACAGACAAAAACGCATGTGATCTACTTGATTACACCACGAGAGCCACAACTAATAAAAGAACAATATCCAATTCCACCCAGATTTCACAACAACTAATTTCTTTAATAATGAACAACTTAAGCAAGAATTAGACATGTAATGATAACAAAAAGGAATGAAAGAAAAAGACATACATCTCAACAGAGGCAGCAATCTCGTCAGGATTATCCACAGCATGTTCATTGTTGAGTTCTTCCTCCATATCATCATTCTGCACCCTGAAAACAGAATCACCCAATTGAGTGACAAACCCACTTAGATCTCATCTTATACTTCTCTCTGAACATAATAATCCATCATAGTAATTTAAAAATATTTGAATTCTACCAAAAACAAAACCAAATCAAAAAAATCATTTTTTATAGATGGCAATGTTCATCAAATTGATTTAACTTAATTTAGTGAACACAACAGGTTTCCGAGTGTAACGGCGCGTGGAATATCAGAGGGCGCGTGAGGAATGAAAAATAAAATGAAGAGTTAATGGCTCGCCGCTCAAGGTGGGTGCGGAAGAGATCTCACGCACCCTGCCCGTACTGTCGTTCTGTCACAGGAAAGAAAACCGTTTGAAAAAGCGCTTTTGTTCAGATAGAGAATTGAAGCGAAACGATTGGTCGGCATTAGAGGGGGGAAAAAGAAAAATGGGAAAAAAAGAAATTGTCCTTTTATTCTTGTGAATAAAATGACTGAAATACCCCGAAACTTTATCAAACAATTTGGGAAATTAAAAGGATTTTATTGGGGTAATTACGGAAATAAACTAACAGTGTGTGGTGTTTTATTCACTGCAGCGAAGGAATCCGAAGGGGAATATAACTGTTAACGAAACAAACGGTCCAGATCGAGGATCGTGATCTCAACGGTTGAGATCGTTAGCTACAGTTGGATTATCACCCCACACGGATCCGATGAGAGTCCAACGGCAGTGATTATAGCAAGATGAGTAAAACGCACGGCTGAAATCGTTTTATTCGGTACAGATTTTCGCCTCTTTTTCGTTACTCGAGTTAATGAAACGAACAATGACCCAAGCCGCCATTGATGAGTTACTAGGCTCTGAAACTCTATCGCTAACACAGTCCGGTAAAATCCAGAAAAGACGAACAAGAAACAAATCCGCTACAGTTCATTTCGAAATTCAGAGATTCTGTTGTTATATTCCTCATTTCTTTTCCTAAATAAGTACTAGACTGAAGAACACCATTAAAGCAATGGAATGAAGTTTCTACATCTCGTTCAATTCTACATTACTACATTGATCCAAAATCATATGAAAAACACTAAATCAACATTCAGAATCTCCAAATCGAAAGTAATTCACAGTATACGAATCTTGAATTCACTAATCGTAACCAGAAATTTCACACAATGTCGCTAGAATCAGTTACCAAATCGAACACATCGCATTGAGATTGCAAGAGAAACAGATGTAAGGGAGAATAGAAAAGCTTACCTAACTTCAGACGTCTCTCCCTTGCGAATCACAGCGATTGTTACGAAGAACACCATTGCAAGGCCAAACAGAGACAGAGAAGACCACTTACTAAGTGCCGCCATTACTGATCCCTCTCCCTCTCGGCCAAACTCTGAAGCGAAGTAGCGAGAGAAATTGAGAGGAAAAGAAATAGAAAGAGAATGCGGAAGAGGAAGAAGAAGCAGAAGAACAGAGGGAAACGAGTAGTGGTGATGTCAGTGAAAGCTTTGGACAAAACGGACCTTTTATAGACAAACCTCCAACGGCAAAAAAATATAACGCAGATAAATATGAAGACGATAACAAATCCCATACATTCGTTCAACCGACGTTAACGCCGTCAACAAACCTCACCGTTACATATATAATATGTATATATATACATATATATTATCCTTTATTCTAGTCTATCCTCTATAATTCACAAATTTTTCTTTTTTATTTTTCTTTTTTATGTATATAAAAGCGTATTTTAAATGCAATAAAAACGAGTAAAACCGGGGAGGCATTTTACATTTTTTTTAAATAAAATTGCACAATGAATAATTTATTTCTTGTCAAAATTTTAAAAATAAAAATAAGTTTTTTAAAAAGATTATTATTTTTAAGCGAATTTTATAAATGTAATAAAAATTAAGAGATATAATAAACATGATTTGAAAATTTGAGATTTTATATACTTTTTTAGAGTACAGAGATTAAATAAATAAAATTTTAATAAATTGATAGAATAATTAGCGAAAAGACTAATTTAACCCTCCTTCCTCATTCCCATGTTTTTTTCAACTGAGAATTTAGGAATAAATCAGTCTTTTCCAATTGGAATTCAAAATTCTTTTTTACTTCTTTTTTTCTATTCTTTTTACGGCTTTGACGCTTTACCAATCTCCCTATTGAGGTTAATTTAGTGAAAAAAATACTTTACTCCTTTGTTTACCACGACAGTAAGTCTACGATTTACTGTTGAACGCACTATAATTATATGAATTTTTTTACTAACTTTAATTTCATCAAATTTTTAAATTAAAATAAATGTTATAAACATAACCTTTTAATAAATTTTTGCTCCAAAAATTGTTTTAAAATTTTTTATATATTAAATAATTATAGAGGATACGTAATTTTGTAAAATTTTAGAGAAAATTAATTAAAAAAAAAAGAATTTTTTAAGTCAAACTTATGATTATTAGTGAAATTACTTAATTATTAATATGGGCGAAACGTATTTTTATGTAAATTTTAATTTTAATATGTTATGATTTAATTTAATTTAATTTAATTTAAAATTAAATGGAGATTATCTTTACCTGGTGCCACGTCGGACGGGAGCTGAAGGGGAAGACGTGGAATGGAAGGTACGGAATACGGTCGCCGGAGACAGATGTCACGGTTTTCAGCTGATTTCGCGGTCAGTAAATATATATAATAAAGTGATTAAATTATTTAATTAAATTTTTGTGGTTGCTTGGGCGTGTGAATCACAGTCACAGGCACCAATCACGGCTCTTGATTTGGTGGATCAGCCTGGTGGGTGTGGAGCATTAGGTGACAGCCTGTTAAATTATCTTTTTCCCTTTTTCTTGTTTTTTTTTAGGTTCCATCTTAAAATTAAATTAAATTTTAAATCTCTCATTCCTCAATTCTGGCTATGATAGTGGAAAAGGTGAGTGTTTTTTAAGCCTAATCGTTCACTCAATTATAACATCTAAACATATAAACTTTTTTTTTAATTATTTAAAAATATCTAATATGTCCGTGAATTTTCAATTTTATTTTTAATCTGCCTATAACAAATATAAAATTATTTAGTTCAGATAAAGTCAAATCTCATACAAATCTTTAAAATTGTAGCTAACCCGGCATTCCCTCGCTTTTAAAAGTGAACATTATCTTCACAAACCAACACGAGTCATTCCAACATGTTTTCTCTTCACCCACGTGCATCTTATTTTAAAATTTTATTTTTAGAATTTGATTATAAATTCAAGTTTTTTTTAACCGCCATTAATTATTTATTTCACTATAAAACATAATATATATATATATATAGTTTTTTATATTATGGATAATTTAATTTGGATAATGATTTCTCTCGCGACTAAAAATTAAAATAATAGATTTTGACAATTGCAAATAGTAATCATTGTTAATAAGTGATCAATGGCTAATTAATGACAGATTTGTTTGATTAAACTTGTAGTTGTGGATAAGATGATAACAATATTAATTTTTTTAAAATTAGTATAAGATTTTAATAAGAACATTATTAAAATTTTGATACGATTTTAAATATAGTTTCAAACGGAAATTATGTATAAAAAAACATTTTTAAATTTAATTTAATTTTTTTTTCAAAATAAAGTTTTAATCTCTAAAATTGTGTTTATTTTGTGATCATTTTAGTTTTAAAGTATGAAAAAGTATTTAAATCTAACTCTTACGGTTAACCAATCAACAAAATCGTGAGGCGGACGACGATAGATAATAGAATAAAGAGGATAACATTTGTTAATGGTAGAGTTGATTTGTTACAAATAATATCAGAGTCAGACACCGGCAGCGTACCAGCGAAGACGTTGGGCTCTCAAGAGGGTTGGATTGTGAGATCCTACATCGATGGGAGAGGGGAAGTAAACATTTTTTATAAATGCTTAGAGACCTCTCTCTAATAGACGTGTTTTAAAATCGTGAGGCTAACGACGATATGTAACAAACTAAAACATGTAATATTTGCTAGCGGTGGGCTTGAATGGTTACAAAAGAGATAAATCAACCTCGATCTCGATTATAAATCAAATTTAGTTTAGCTATATTTTTTATTTTGTAAAAATTTTATTAAATAAAATTAAATAAATAATGCTAATAAATTCCATTATATATATATATAATGGAATTTTTGTTTTTTATTATTATTATTATTTTCGCGGGCACGATAATGTTACCATGCATCGGCCAACTGCCACCCATCATAACAATATTCTCACGCCTCCCGTAAACCCTAAACCAACTATATTTCTCTCTCCCAAGTGTATTTACAATTTTACCCTCATCATCCTCTACAATAAGGTCCACCCAACATCATCATCTTCTACATTTCTGAGACCGTTTGATTTCCTTGGGCCCCACCTCCCAACATTTTCCCATTGACTTCTTACACTTACCAAAATAAATCATGCAAGAATCATCTAATCTGACGGTCCGGAATTCGCTGCTCACCGTGTGACACCCACAGGGGATTGTTACCTCCGTTTTTCATTCTCTTTCCTTTTAACCGTCTTATTATTGGTGGGTTACTTGATCAAGCGGGCCCTACAGAAAAAACTGTCATTAAAAAAAAAAAAAAAAAAATATTTAATGCCTTGACGCAGAAGCAACTTGGAGATCGATTATGGATAATGTTGGGGACAGAAAATATTCCGAAATTCTATTTTATTCTTTATTTTTCATACAGATGAATGTTCGAGAAAACTATCTTCACAAACTGACGTTATTTCTTTTAGCATAAATATTTCGAGCTCAAAGCTTTCAAATATATAAGTTTTAGTTCGAAACCCTAAAAAAGCAACAATTTCAATCTTAAACATGATATTTTACCGCTCGTCCTTTCAGAAGATGTCTTTCAAAACATGTGTTTAATTGTGTCGGTATTATCATGTATTAGAACCATACCCATTAGCTAAGACGAGTACTGGATGGTCATAAGAGCTAAATATATATATAACAAAAATAATAATAATAATAAAAGTTGAATAAATTAAGGTTTCTAAAGTTCATATAATACAATCTTAAATTATGGAAGGAATAATTTAAAGTGGAATAAATTTAATCTTTTTTAAAATTCATATTAAATCATCTTAATTTAAAAACATATTATTTTCTAAATTTTATTAAAAATATATATTTATTATGCATGAATTTAGTTTTAAGGGACGGAACTTTCTTGCCGTTGTCAAAGCCGTTAACTCAAATCCAAATTATACGATTTCTTACCGAGAATGACAGCGTGGCAAAAGTGGGTCCTACTGTAGCAACGGAATTAATCTAACGGAAAGAATATTCTTGTTTTTTTTATTTTATTTTATTAATGTTAGTGATTAACATGTGATAAAAGTAAATTAATTTAAAATATATATATATATTGTACATTGGTATCTGCCACCGTTTATTACGACTTTTTTTTTATTATAAAAATCGTTTACTTAATAATATGTCAAATTTAAACAAAAATTTTAATTAAAAAATCGAATTTTAATATTCGGATCATTAATTTTTTTATTAGTAATTTTTATACCTTAATTTATGTTTTTTTTTAATAAAATTATATTGATAGGTAAGTTTGACTAATATATTTTACAAAAAGTAAAGTCAAAACTATTTATTTTTTACTTTAAACCCTTTATATTATGCTAATTCCTTCTAATCCCTCTCTAAATTTCTTATATTTCTATAATATTATTCTTCTTCTTTTGTCTTTTTAATTTTAATATTCTTCTTTAATTATACGTTTCATTTCGTCTCATATTTATTTATTTATTTATATTTTAGTATGATACTCGAACACATATCTTAATGAATTTAAGAATAATTTCAACTTACTTCTACGATCAGTCTAAATCTCATAATTTGTCTGTAAATCTATCTGTATTATACCCACTTAGCTAACTCATATTTAAAATTCAGGGTCTAACTTCTTCCACACAAATAAGTTGGCTAGATAGGCTGACCCACGATGGTTCGAGAGGAACAGAAGATTTATAAATTATAGGGGTTGAAATTGAAAATTTTAAAATTATAAGGACTAAATTGAAACTTTGCTAAAACTATACAAACCAGACATGTAGTTTAACGGAGAAGAGATTGACTTTTGAGCTGCAACTAACTTTATTTACTTGAAAATTAAGATTTTAAAGTGCAATTATTATAAGTAAAAGGGTAATGTGTGTTCATTAAATTCAGCTCACTTCATAATGAAACTTCATGCAGCTACAGTTGATAACTCCTTATTTGTAGTCCATTTCCATAGTCAATGACCAATTAATGATGCACATGAACATCATTAATCACTATAATATAAAGTTTTCTCAATTATTCGAGCGTTACCCATATTTAATTTATTAATTTTACGACATTTAATTTTATTTGATGGCATGTTATGTAATGATGGGGCGATTTGTTATGCAAAAATAATTTATGGCTTTATCCATTAGGTTAAGGTCGGGATGGGTCCACTTTTTGTATTAACAAAAGTACGATAAAAATAACTATGATGGTCGAGATTTATGGCTTTATCCATTATGTTAGTCTCTCCTTCTTCGACCCATTGCTGTTATCGAAAGCTCTCAGTTCTCATTGTCGCCGAATCGTTCTTTCATCCCAACATTTAAATGTTTATTTGAAATTTTCTCAATAAAAAATGAGGGGAATTATTTATTTCAAAGATAATATTAATGCTTTACATTAAAACTCCTAAATAATCTTGCAAATGTCAAGTAAGTCCCATATTCCCAAACGGTTATTTGGGCCGTACTACATGTGGCCCAATACAAGTCAACAACCAGCCACAAAAAAGCCCACGAAAGGCCCATTACTCAAGATTGGGCCATTCATTTCAGGGTCCTGGCCCAATGAACCAATTAACCTACGGTCAGAAACAGCCCACGATGACAAATAATTTATTATTTTTTACAAAAAAAAACTTAAATTAATAAAAAAAAAGACAAGAAAAATAATTTATCGTTATTTTTTAAAAAGTTTACGGTATTTCTTTAGATATAATATAAAATTAAATATTATTTTGTTAATTTAAAAAAATTGTAAAAAAAAAAAAAAAAGAAGACACCTGGTGGAAGAAAAAGGAAAAAGGAAATGATATTTAGTGGTCCGAAATGATGACGTAATAAAAACACCAAAATCGGAAATTTGATAATGTTAATACGGACAACTGACAAGGAACACCAACACCAAAGCTTGTTGGGTAGTGGGGCCCACGGGGGGAAAAGAACAAAAACTTTTAAGTAAATTAAAAAAAAATTAAGAAAAAGAAAATGTCAGGGAACGGGGATGTGGGGGTATGGAAGTGCACGTGGGAGGGAGGGTGGGAAAAATGACACGTGTGAAGCGGGTTTGTATTATCGCCACGTGTTGAAATGTAAAAACTGCAAACCCTCGTGACCCCCACCTGCGGGAGCTAGAAAAAGTCAATAGACGAGAAGTTAGGGGTCAAATGGCTGCCCAAACTTGTCCTCTCTGCCCACGTGGAGTCCCACGTGGATAGGTCTCTAAGGAAAGTTTGCAAGTGCTATTTCTTTTATATATATATATATATATATCTACACACTAACTTGCCTTTATTAATCGTAATAATAATTAATTTAATTATAAAAAAACCTCTTCACTCTTAAAATTTTAAATTTTGTATGATATTCTTAAATTAAAAAATAATTATTCCGTTGGTCGAATATTTTAAATCAATTGAACGTTTATGTGTCAAAATAGGAAGGAACTAAGTATAGATTTTTTTTCGTCTCCAACGAAAGAGCTCCACATGCCCTTCTCCTTTGGAATGGCATTGTTTGGAGGGTCGTGAAATGTCCAAATTTGGCGCTTATGTTATGCTTATGTCATCATTTAGCGCGCGAAAGATGATCAAAACATGTCATTGTAAAACTCTACTAAAATAGAGACGTGGATTATTAAAAATTTGAATATTATAGTTAGGAGCATTATTTGTTTATTTTGAGACACTCATTTTCCAATGCTGTGGCCATCCCCCTCAGCCCCTCCGTTGCGAAAGGCCCCTAAACAACGAACTTACGATTATATTGGTACTTGATCCTTGTTTTCTTTCCCCACCTTATTTCACCCCAATTACCCACACCAACCAAATTGTAGGGAATCTTTCCTACTAACTACGCCAAAAACCCAACCACAATAAGTCCAAATGAAACTCGGCGCAACTCGTTTTCATCAATTTTCGAGTCAATTCTTTAATTTAAGCATCAGAGTTTACCTTTTTTTAGGTCACTTCTATATTCTAAATCGAGAAATTTAGAGTCGAAACACGTGCAGTACTAATGAGAGTTTATCCGGTACAATTTGGGCATATAAACGAGAGATAATATGACGTATTCATTTACCCTTATTGGAAAATGGGCTACTTTTAGGGAATATTATTGCATCATTTTGAACCTAAAAATTACCATAAATTCCACATGGGATCAAGGACAAGAACAGCCCCACTCCATGTCCAAACACACATGAACTAACCCAATAATTCTCAAATTAAAACTTTTCAAAATTAAAATTATTAAAAATTATTAAAAAAAAAATTATGAATTGACCATTGACACTTACTTTAGCTCATTCGTTGCTCTTTATTTTATTTTATAAAATTTTTTGCCCCAATTATCATCCCCATTTCCAGCTCCCACGTGTCAAATCTTCCACGTGCCTCCTTCAACCTCCATTTTCGGTGCTTATATAAAATCCGGACTTCGAATCCCGTTTCAACTCACAATTTTTTTCCTTTTCTTCCAATTTACAATTACGGTCATGCAAATCTCTTTACAGTCGCCGCTGCCACTTTGCCGGAGCTCCTCCACCGTCGAAACCCCTCCAATTAGGAAACTAAAATTACTCACTCTGCCACCGCCGTCGCCGCCGCCGCCGCCGCCCAAAGTGGTGTTGTCTCCGCTTCCGCGTCGGCTCAACCCATTTCAGAATTTGGCGGCGTCGCTGCTGGACGCTGTTGAGTCGTCGCTGATCGTTGATAAATTGCCGAAAACGGTTGACCCGGCGGTTCAAATTTCGGGTAATTTCTCTCCGGTTCCCGAGTGTCCCGTTCGCCACGACCTTGAAATCATCGGAAATTTACCTGCATGCTTACGTGGCGTTTATTTACGAAACGGCGCTAATCCCATGCATGCACCCATAGGTGGGCACCACTTGTTTGATGGTGATGGAATGATCCATGCCGTTACATTTCACGGAGGTAACGAAGCTAGTTACAGCTGCCGGTTCACTCGTACAAGCCGGCTCGAGCAGGAAGTCGCTTTGGGCCGACCGGTTTTCCCCAAGCCGATCGGCGAGCTTCATGGTCACCAAGGACTGGCTAGGCTCGCAATCTTTTTAGCTCGGGCCGGGATTGGGTTAATCGATAGCTCGAAAGGGACAGGTGTCGCCAACGCCGGTTTGGTTTATTTCAACGGTCGATTATTAGCTTTATCCGAAGATGATCTACCGTATCACGTCTTAATTAGAGATGGCGGAGATCTCGAAACGATCGGACGGTTTAGCTTTAACAGTCAGATTAGCTGTCCAATGATCGCTCATCCTAAAGTGGATCCCGTTTCAGGTGATCTTCACGGTTTGAGTTACAACATGATTAAAAAACCGTATTTGAAATATTTACGGTTCGACCGGTTGGGGAGAAAAGTTCGTGACGTGGATATCACCCTTCGTGACCCGACGATGATCCACGATTTCGCGATAACGGAAAACCACGTCGTGATACCAGATCATCAGGTGGTTTTCAAGTTATCCGAAATGGTTCGGGGCGGGTCGCCCGTCGTGTTCGACCCGAACAAAACTTCCCGGTTCGGAATCCTACCAAAATCCGGAGTCGACGAGACCGGAATTGTTTGGATTGACGTGCCGGATTGTTTCTGCTTCCATTTATGGAATGCGTGGGAGGAAACGGGCAGTAACGGCGAGAAAACCGTCGTTGCTGTCGGGTCGTGTATGAACCCGCCGGATTCTATTTTCAACGACCGGGACCAGGCGTTGACAATTGAGCTGACGGAAATCCGGATGGACATGAGGAACCGAAAGGCGACCCGTCGGGTTTTCGGGTCGGGTATGAATTTGGAAGCGGGTCAGGTGAACCGGAAGTTGGTAGGGCGGAGGACCCGATTCGTTTACATGGCGATAGCAGAGCCGTGGCCGAAGTGCTCCGGCATTGCGAAGGTAGATTTAGAAACTAGAAAAGTGAAGAAGTTTCTATATGGCGACGGTCGGTACGGCGGCGAACCGTTTTACGTTTCGGAAAATGGTAATTCCGGCGAAGATGAGAATGAGGATGGAGGGTATGTTGTAGGGTTTGTAAGAGACGAGAAGCGGGAGAGATCGGAGTTGGTGGTGGTGAAGGCGGCAGAGATGATGGAAGTGGCGGCGGTGAGACTTCCGGCGAGGGTTCCTTACGGATTTCACGGCACGTTTGTCAGTGAAGAAGAGTTGAAGGGTCAAGCTCCGAACTAGATTTTTTTTTTCTGCTTGTTTTCTGTAAATTAATTAATTTGTAGATTCTATTTTTGGGTTTTTTTTTTTTTTTTTTTTTTTG